TTTTATAATTTTTAGACCTTATAATGGCTTCCGATGAGGCTTCTAAAGAGTTATTTCTGTTTCTCAATAAATACGCACATTTTTCGCACTTTAGCCTACAGAAAACCTTCTGGTATATGGCATATCCCGTGTAGTAGCGATAAACCTGCATCTTGGCTGCTTTTTCAGTCTCAGCAAAGTGCTCATCTGGAATACATATTTATTTCACGGCAAGTTGCTCAGACGATTTTAAATTTTCGTCGTCTTCTTGGCCAATATTCCAGTCAAGGTTTATATCGTCGTCTTCTTTGTAATTGCAACAATATATTGCTCGTGTGCGGATGGATGATTATTACATCCTAAATTTTATAAAAAAAAAAAAGGTTTCCAAGCCATCTTGGTTCATCCTCCCTAAGAGTATAAATGATATATTCGCATATTCATTGAATATATCGCCGCTCAATGCGATCATTGCATTTATGGTTGATACAAATGAATCGATTCACCATATTTGGTTCATAGGCTTTTTTTTATGTTTTTTATGTACAGAATGTGATCTTTTAATCTATTGATTTTATCATTACAATCTTTTTATATTGACCGTCTTCGCAGATTTGGATTGTAAAGCGTCTTACAATCCAATTCGTCGAACAGATCATTCATCCGTTTCATCAGCAGTTAGGTTGCTTTGGCGCATTTTTTTAAATGCTCATCGGAGCCCAACAAATTTTCTTTTATGGGAATCTCAATTGCCGCGGCGACCGAATTGCTAAATACTTGTGTAGCTCTTGACACTGACATTTTTTTCAAGTAATGCGGAGTACACATGCGAATAGGTTAATTTTGGGCACATTTTAAAATTAACATTTGTCTGGTCTATGGCATATACTTTTCGCACAACTTTAAAAGTTGTTAGCCCATCTTAGCGCCTAATAGTTGCCTTAGTTTGGAATTTTGTTCACCTTGGTTTCACACTATTGACTTGATTTCAAGTCCGAAATCTTCCAAGGTATTTATATTGCTCTTGAGCAAATTCAACAAATTCGCGTTTTTAACACTATCTTTTGCTACGTAATAGGAAATCACATATTTCCATTTTGCGACTAAGCCTTTTAACATGAAAAAGCAGCAAACTTATGGCCGACCACGCTTTCCCGGTGACCTTCTCCATTATCAAAGAAGCCGTCAATCACATCTCGTACTTTGTTATACGTCAGATCTTTTTCGATTGAAAATTCGTCGAGAATTAATTGGCATATGCGTTCTTCATTTCTTGAACATTTTCTTTAAATTGTTCAAGACTTTCTCGTCAATACCGGGGCCATCGGACGCCAACGCAAAAGTGTTTTTATGTGGAGCAATGCAGATCCCAAGTCGTCGCGCATAAAATTATAGGTCTTAGTCGACATATAATTAATGTTTAAAGCCATTGCTTTCTCCTATTCGTCGTAGAAGTTTTTTTTTCTTTAAAATCATCTTTGCGAATGTTATCGCATGTTCATTTGCATTGCCTGTTATTATGACGTTTTTTTCCAGAGCTTGACATTTTTTTGTGACAGGAAAACTTTCCTTTTTAGCTCTTTAACTTTTTTATTTGAATCAAAGAATTGCTTTGAAAACCTCTAGCGGGAAGGGTGGAATATTTGTCGAATGATATGTCATTTGATTTCCCATCTCTTCAAATGACATATCATTATTTTGTGTATACTCGGTTTTTAAAACATCATATGTGTGTACAACCGGCATAACTGTGGCGATTGCTGACTAGTTTCGTCAGCTTCAAAATTTAAATTTAGCACAGGAAGAGCTTCATTTAAAATGCGTCTTGACGATACATCTTTATTCTGAAAATGTCTTTCACATATACATATATAAATTTTTTTCCAGTGGTAAGTGAAGATTGCAGGACTTTACCCAAATTTGCTAACGCAGCAACTTTTGTACGGACGCACCGGTTGAAATAATTGGGTTGGGCCTCATCTAAAAACATTGTAAATAAATATGAAGATAAATATAAAATATATAATAAATACTAAATTTCAATTCTTTATATACATATATCTTCTGACCGTGTGTTTGTAATTGAACTTTTCCTTAACGGCTGGACCGATTTTGATGAAATTTCTGTAGACCAATAGCAAGCTTTCATAATGTGGACAGGGTTGTTCGTTCTTAAGTAATAAAATGGGTAATTCAGTACATCTTTGGGTAGACATCACATTTTTTCATACCTGCGAACTATTGGAGAGAGCAACAATACATAACAAGCTTCGTCAAGACTTTTACGGATACTTTGTTAGATTATGGGCGAAATACGCAAATGCATTCATAACAAACCAAACGCCATATTTAAACGGTAACGATGAGTATATATATTTCAAACTTATCTTTCCAAAAAAATATTAAAATTGCTAAATATTGGGAATAGTGAGATAGAATTGCGGCCAAATGCACAGTGCAATGAATTRAAACTGGCTCAGTAATCATCCGCTGAATAGCATACCACGGGCATCCCAAAAGACTGATGCCATAAACGTGATAGCCAATTTTTTGTCTTGCCACGCAAGAGAACCGTTTCATAGTACTCAGTCCAGTAGGCTGACTGTCGATTCGACTCGATTGGTTTCACTGATGCACAGCCCAAATTCAACAGTATTTGCCCCCAAAAACCAATGCTTTCTAACGCACGAAATGCTTTTTGAGTAATTTTTTTTGTAAACTAACACAACTAGATTCACAAAAAATGCCATATCTCCTTAACTAATAGTTATAATCTAAATAATAGTGATTTCTAAAGATGATATTAGGTGTACTACCTATGTATCAGCCACAGTAAAACGTGGACGGGTCCTCTAGTGTTTCTGTAAGAATATTAAATATTATATGCACCCACAGACAGTTAAATTAAACAYACACACGCACCAGAGAATGACTTTACTTGTGTGTGCACCCGCAACCCGCCCAAAGGACAAAATAATTTAGATGCCTTCTCACCAAACGAATATTATATTTTTTGCCACTGCCATTCGTCGTAAGTGAAATACTTTTAATAGGTTTATAGTTACATTTTTTTACTCACATTTAAATCTGTTGCAGATAGTTGGGTGCTTTGCGATTATAAACCCCTTGCTTTGATGTCTTTTGTAAAGGTCACAGACTTGAACGCTCACAAAACGCTTATTTRTATGTGTAAATGCTGGCTGGGCAAATTATCAAAGCACACACACGCCCTTGTATGTGCACCCGCAACCAAATTACCAAAACACACACACGCACTTAAATAAACACCCCCAACATAAAAACGAACTGCACTTACCCAGATGCAATGTAGGTACTGCATTCCTATTAAGATTTTTTGGGCCAATTGCATCTTCTTCAAAATGTTTTTACAAATGAATGAGTTGGTGGCTGGAACGTGGTCAGTGAGAGAAATTTTTAGATTCTCCTTCTACTTTTGAACCAGCTCCCATTCATTTCGGAAACTAAGTAGTCGTAGTACCCCACCGTTGGTGCTTTCACACCCGCGCACGCGACACTTATGAATTTTCGGTATATAGAGGTGTAATAATTCTTAAAAATAACCCGATTAAAAAAATTCCGTTAGCACTTTACAAAATCACAAACTTTATGAAAATTGGCGCAATTATTTATTGGCACTTCAATTTTATATAAGGTTTAAAACATATTTACATATGAATGCATAATATATTTTATTTGGCGCAATTATCGACACTTGTCAGTTTTCTCAATATATTAGTAGGAGAAAGAAGGATGGATACTTTCTTTTGCGAGTAGAGATCAATACAAATAATATGCAAGAAGAAGTTTTTTACTTAATATGTAAATATTTATTTGATTTTGGAGCAATTATTGACACTTGCCTTAACACACAAAATTGGGCCAAAACGAAACAAAGAAATACATAATTAYTTTTGCATGTCAATGTGCCGAAATGCCGAGGCATACATTGCACATACATACAATCAATTCCTTTGTTGAAAGCAAAAATTGAATTATGAGAAATAGAAATGCCGACGGCAAAACAAAATTCCTTACATTCGTACATTGCGTATGAAAGGAATTCCCTGCTTGATAGCTAACATTAATCATGAAAATATCATAATGGTGTTAGGTGAATTATATATTTAAAATGATTTATTRAAAAATAAGATTGAATTAACATAAAATAATTTGAAAAATAATAAATAAAAGTTCTACATACATATTTCCATATATATTGGAACTTATTTCCTGTGGAATATTAGAGATATTATTTTTCTTCAATATTCTCTGTTTGGGAGTATCATCATGGGCATGAATACATATATTTATGTCTCTTCATATTCTTGGGTATGTGAGATAGAGGACACAATAAAAAATGTCCTTATGCTCTCTGTGTGAGAGTGTGTTTTTTACGCTGTTAAAAGTGGAATATCAAAGAACTTATTTTTCTTCAATATTCTCTGCTTGGGCATATATGCTATATCATTATATGCCGAAAATACATGTATTTATTTCTCTTCATATTCTCTGTTTGAGTATGTGAGTGCACTGTCAAAAATGATAAATGCATCTATTCCACCCTATATAATCTGCAAGGCTCATTGGTGTACAGTTATTACTACTTTTTTGTTGCACATGTCCCTATTTTACAAACAGACATATAATTGCCGCTTTTACGGAGTTTCTTCTGTTCTAAACTTAAGCTATGAAGACAGATGAAAAACTAACAATCAGGATTACGTGACGAGTTGAAATCCGAGTGACTGTTTGTCTGTCCATTTGTCCGTGTAAGCTGTAACTTGAGCAAAAATTAACCTACCTTGATGAAGATTAATACACATTTTCCATGATTCAAAAGTATGACGGAGGTCGTAGATGGGCGTAATCATACCACTGCTACGCCCACAAAATGCTATAACTTCTTCTTTTTCTTAATTAGCGTAGTCACCGCTTACCTGATTATAGTCGAGTTAACAACAGCGCGCCAGTCGTTTCTTCTTTTCGCTACGTGGCGCCAGTTATATATTCCATGTGAAGCCAGGTCCTTCTCCAATTGGTCCTTCCAACGGAGTAGAGGTCTTCCTCTTCCTCTGCTTCCCCCCGCGGGTACTGCGTCGAATACTTTCAGATCTGGAGTGTTTTCGTCCATCCGGACAACATGACCTAGCCAGCGTAGCCGCTGTCTTTTAATTCGCTGAACTATGTCAATGTCGTCCTATATCTCGTACAGCTCRTCGTTTCATCAAATGCGATATTCGCCGTGGCTAACGCGCAAAGGACCATAAATCTTTCGCAGAACTTTTCTCTCGAAAACTCGCAATGCCGACTCATCCGTTGTTGACATCGTCCAAGCCTCTGCACTATATATCAGGACGGGAATTGCCTACTCAATCCAAAGTAGCTCCTGTTGGCAAGAGTTATCCTGCGTTGGATTTCCAGGGTGATATTGTTGGTGGCTTTTACGCTGGCTCCAAAATAGACGAAATTATCTACAAATTCAAAGCTATGACTGTCAACAGTGACGTGAGTGCCAAGTTACGAGGGCGACGACTGTTTGTTTGATGACAGGAGATATTTCGTCTTGTTCTCGTCCACTGCCAGACCCATTTGCGTTGCTTCCTTGTCCAGTCTGGAAAAAGCAGAACTAACGGCGCGGGTGTTGAGGCCGATGATATCAATATCATCGATATACGCCAGCACTGTATACTCTTATAGAAGATGATACCTTCTATATTTAGTTCTGCAGCTCGAACTATTTTTTCCAGTAGCAGGTTAAAAAAGTCGCACGATAAGGAATCGCCTTGTCTGAAACCTCGTTTGGTATCGAACGGCTCGGAGAGGTCTTTCCCGATTCTGACGGAGCTTTTGGTGCTGCTCAACGTCAGCTTACAAAGCCGTATAAGTTTTGCAGAGAAACCAAATTCAGACATCGCGGCATAAAGGCAGCTCCTTTTCGTGCTATCGAAACCAGCTTTGAAATCGTCGAAGAGGTGGTGAGTGTCGATTCCCTTTCACGGGTCTTCTCGAGGATTTGGCGCACTGTGAATATCTGGTCGTGTTTGATTTTCCAGGTCTGAAGCCACACTGATAAGGTCCAATCAGGTTGCTGATGGTGGGCTTTAATCTTTCACACAATACGCTCGATAGAACCTTATACGCAATGTTGAGGAGATTTATCCCACGGTAGTTGGCGCAGATTGTGGGGTCTCCTTTTTTGTGGATTGGGCATAGCACATTTAAATTCCAATCGTTGGGCATGCTTTCGTCCCACCATATTTTACAAAGAARCTGATGTATGCTCCTTATCAGTTCTTCGCCGCCGTGTTTGAATAGCTCGGCCGGCAATCCTTCGGCCCCCGCCGCTTTGTTGTTCTTCAGGCGGGTAATTGCTATTCGAACTTCTTCCTGGTCGGGCAATGGAACGTCTGCTCCATCGTCGTCGATTTGGGCATCGGGTTCACCTCTCCTGGCGTTGTGCGTTCACTGCCATTCAGCAGGCTAGAGAAGTGTTCCCTCCATAATTTAAGTAAGATCTGAGCATCGGTGACTAGATCACCTTTGGGGGTTCTACAAGAGAATGCTCTGGTCGATGTTAAAACCTCGGAGCGAACGCATATCTAAAACACTGGTCTATCTGGTTGGTGGTTTTTCGATCTGGAGACAGCCAGGTAGCTTGATGTATCTTCTTATGCTGGAATGTAGTACTACAGATAACCATACTTTGGGCCAAGGCGAAGTCGATTAGCCTCAACCCATTTGGGGATGTTTCCTCGTGGAGGCTGAATTTACCGACAGTAGTGCCGAAGATACCTTCTTTGCCCACCCTGGTGTTAAAGTCGCCAATCACGATTTTGACATCATGGAGGGGGCAGCTCTTTGGTCACATCGTACTTCTCTTCCGTCGGGGCGTGGGCGCAAATCAGCGATATGTTGAAGAACCTCGCTTTGATGCGGATTGTGGTAGACGTTCATTCACCGGAGTGAATGATAGTACTCGGCGACGGAGTCTCTCTCCCACCACGAATCCCACACCAAACTTGCGCTCCTTTATATGGCCACTGTAGTAAATGCCAAAAGGACCTACTCGTCCCTGTCCTTGTCCCGTCCATAGCATTTCTTGGACGGCGGTGATGTCAGCTTTCATTTTTACGAAGACATCAACCAGCTGGGCAGCGGCACGTTCCCAATTAAGGGACCGGAAGTTTAGGTGCATGCCCTCAATTCGTAGTCCTTATTTCGTTTTCCATGGCCGTCATCAAAAGTGGGGTCTCTCATCCGATGCTGTTGCTGCGTTTCCATTAGGGGTGTTTTTTTTTACGTGGCGGGTCCCAAACCCAGCGCACGACCCTATGCAGGGGATGTTTCGCCTTCTCACTTTAGCTCGCCTTCAAACGGATGTTCTTAGGCTACCCAGAGGATACTTGGTCAAAGACGGAAAGTCGTAAGCTGCTTGAGTCATATGTAGAAGAATCGTTTCTGGCCACTCCCAAGTGAATATCGGCCAGCGATACTTTCCTCACTTGCGCGAACTTCTACACATGACTCCATCCTCCAAGTGCCATAACTAAGCATCGAACTGTATTTTGGTACAGAGGATCGGAGTAGCAAGGAGAGCTGAAAATTTTGAAAAACCGGGCGTGGTCCCGTCCATTTGATAGGTATAATGTACATATCTCCTTGACCTCTTAAGCTATAATATCCAAATTTGCTTAGTATAATTAGAAACGATTAAAAGCGCTATAAATCAATAACTTAATACGCCAAAACTGTTAAAGTTTACCACCGAGATGGTGTGAGAGAGCTTTATACGGCTGATGTAACACTTGGAAGACGGCGGTGGCATTGTTCACCTTTAGGTAAATTATCAATCGTTGGTATAGTTGTACAATAGTATGTCTGTTTGTCAGAAATAGGATCCTACTCTCAAAAAATGTAAAAACTTCATATAAAAAAACGCTTAAGAAATGGTCAAAAAAATTTTCTGCGGTATATCTTCTATCTTATCTTATATTTTCTTGTGCTGGTATGCAGCTCTAAAGAAATCTAGTACTATTTTTTTTTTTTTTTCAGTAAAATGCGAATATAGCAACGCTGATTTGGTGAAGAAACATGAAATCAACAACATGCAATTCAAAGTAATCCTTAAAATCATCCTAAAATAGTTCAAACCATTATTATAAAATGTAGTTCATTTTAAAATATTGTACAAAACCGATTGGTATACACATTCCTTAAATCGGAATGAAAGTATTTATATACTTACAAACATAAGTATTGTGGGCACACAGATAAGACTTATCATATCTGGCAGCACGGTTTGTCATTTATTTTATTATTTCATTATCTTTATATCCTTCTTGGAAATTTACAGTTTT